CTCTCTCTCTCTCTCTCTCTCTCTCTCTCTCTCTCTCTCTCTCTCTCTCTCTCTCTCTCTCTCTCTCCCTCCCCCCCCCTCCGTGTTTGTGGTTGGCCCTTTAGTTTTCCAATCAACTACCAATAACGGATGTCTTTAACCTCTCTCTGTCCCTCTCTCGCGGGTTGAATCCCATTCTTCGAGATGCAAGGTATTGGATCTCTCTTTTTTCTTTTCCTGTCAATGAACCGAACTTTCTTGATTCTAGGGGTTGAATCATTTCTGTTTGGGAGGTATCAGTAAATGGATATCCCGTATTCTGTTAAAACAAGCAGCTGGCGCTACTGACTCTTCTTCGGCTATTCATTTCCGGATCTCAAGAGCGAGGGCGAGTGAACTCCCCGCCGCCCACGATCCCCCCCCCTCTCTCTCTCTCTCCCACCACGTTGAAAAGAGAGAGATGCAGTGAGAGAGAAAAGAGGAAAAGAAGACTACCGCTGATGATGTGTGCAACATGTCGATGGATTATTGAAATTGATACTCGATGATGGTCGTGAGCACGAAGAAACAGAAACGGAAACCCATGACCGGTCGTTGTTCACCGATTGAAACCCATGAACGGTCGTTGTTCACCGATTTTTTATTTTAATCAATCCGTTCACCATTTGCAATCAATCCATTTACCATCCTGCGGTTAGTTATATCCCTCAGCAGCAAAGGAAAAAGAAGAATCACACACAAGTCCTGAATTCTGCATTTTGGATAGTTGAAAAAAATAATCTCAAAATATAACAGTCAAAAAATCATTTCAAAATAATTGATTTTCTTTCTATTTGTTCATGATTTTTTAACATATGAGGAAAAACGGGTTTAATCAAAGAAAGAATTAAAATATTCGAATATTTTATTTGAATATACAAACAAACAAAAAAAAAAACACCTTTGTTTCAGTTATTTTTCGATGAGTTGAAGGCGGCCCGACTGAGGGCATACTGACGCTATGATTTTTCCCTTCAAGCTCTGGACGTGATCGCAGCCAGATTCATCCAGCTCTGGTGACTCGTAATCGTAGTCGGATGCATTCGGAAAGTGCTACCGTCTTCCCCCGAACACAACGCACCCTGATTCTGACTGTATCTGGCCGGAAACATACCTTGTATACTTTCCCTTTTCAGGGTGCGTTATGTTCGGGGGAAGACGGAAGTGTGAGTATGCACTGAGAGGGGATTGGTTGCGAACATCGTGACTACCTTCTTCCCCCGAATACAACGTACGGTCATTATAGCTGTATTTGAGGCATCTGTCAGTCTAGATACAGCTATACAGCTGTATTTGAGGCATCTGTCAGTCTAGATACAGCTATATAGCTCTATTTGAGGCATCTGTCAGTCTAGATACAGCTATACAGCTGTATTTGAGGCATCTGTCCGTCTACATACAGATATATAGCTGTATTTGAGGCATC